ACACGATCATTAAAATCTCCCATATAAAGCCAGCATAGATCTTCCCCTAGGTTTAAACTATGAATCTGATTCCAAACTCCAATTATTTCAGCTTCATCTGGAGGTCTATACATAAAAGTAACAAAACGTGGCACCTCATCCCCAACAGACACAGCTCAACAAGAATAAAGTTAAAAGAAGAATGTAAAACAGATACCTAGACCAAATCATTCCACCATAACGCTAATCCACCTCCCAAACCCCTTGGATTAACCACAAAATCATACTTCATCTGAATCACCTTTTAGCCTTCTTAATGTTCTACACCATAGACTTCGTTTCCATTAAAAAAATAATAGATGGTTTATATTCTCGCAACACCTCTTTCAAATGATGAACTTCTTAAGGAGTGCCCAGACCTTGGCAATTCCAAGAAATAATCCTCATGATTGACGTGTGGCTGTTTTAAGCCAGCCACCACCACCTATATTTAATAACCAAAGGCGACAATGCCTCCCTCCTAGCCTTAAATAGGAACCAATCCTCAAGAAACTCATTAGAGCTATCAACCAGCACATCAACAAGCTCTCCACTATCAATTAGATCAAAGAAAGAAGGTCCTAATTATCTTCTAGCTTTAGATTTCACTCTTCCTTACCCCTTCCTTCTCGCCCTACCAATCTCATCAGAAGAAACAATCACCATTTTAATAGGACTACCTTCCACATCTTGCTTTCATTTCTTCTTTACAGGAGAAACCTGGGGAACACATAGACTTCTTTTAGCTTGACAATTTTCAACTTAGATGCCACATCCAAAATCATACTATCACTATGATAAATCACAATTTATTTCCCTTTTGCTTCATCTTCTAACCACTACCCTTCACATCTTCCAGCCCACCAGAAACATTTAAAGAATTTCTAATAATATCAACCCCTTCCCAGGAGCTAAGAGATCAAAATCTAGATTCATATTACCTATCAATTTGGCTTGTAAACTTTCAGCACAATTCAGTATAGCATCCTTAGTACCTTGATTTTGAGCCACCTTATCCTTTACAGGAGACTTTTCAGTAGTCAATAAAGAAATACCCTTACACACCACATGGACAGTGTGGCATTGAGAATCACTACTAAACTCAGCATTGTTAGCAACCACCTCACGCACAATATTTTGCTTGGCTTCTTGTACCACTTCCTCCCCCGACTTTAGCCACCTAGGTGTAAAGGTAACAAAGCTTGATCCCGAGTATGTACCGCTCATATTAACCCATGGGCCATATAAGGGTTGAAAAAGGTCTCATTGTGAATATTTTTTCTCAACTCATAGTGATGGACTCATGCCCCAACATTCCACACTTAAACAGATCACCGAAAAACTTTCATATATACTTCAACCTAGAGATCAGACAAACCTGCCTAGGCACCGCAAACTTAATAATAACTGGTTTTACACATTAATCAGAATACGAGCACAAACAAAGCTTCTTAACATTCGTCCCTCAAACCTAGGCTCTTTCAACATCACCGGTTCCCTCGCAACGTATCATCTTATTCATCCTCCAACCACCCTCGATTTCAAACCTCCATCCCCCTAATGGTAGCCACAAACAGAGACAAAGCACACTTAAACCCATAAAAAACTCATGAAAATGATATCACTCCACACTCACAAAAAATAGAAACACTCATGCACAAAAACCCCCAAACTAATCAAAGATCTAAAGGAAAAAATGCTCACCTAAGGTGGAGAAAGAACCCTCACTAGGTGAGGAGAGAAAAAGCTTCTGAAGTAATGTAACTTCCTTCAATGCTGTAACACCATTCATAGACCAAATGGAGTTTGGTTTGACAAAATTAACAATGAAGCTTTTTGAGAGTTTCTTTAAATTTTTGAATAGAATGACCATATATGATTTTGTCAAAATGAAAGAGACTCTTGACAACATTAATATGCCAAAAATTCTTTCAGATTCTCATTGTCAGTTTGAATTGTGTGATTCCTATAACTAGCATTTAGATTGAATGAATTTGGATTTTAGATTTAAAATTTTGTATTTCAAATCACATATTTAAAATCTATGTATTTAAAATAATTTGTTTGAGTAATTAAAAAATTCAAATGAAGAAGCGGTTAATTGAGATTCAACACAAAAATGAAAAGTTAAAATGATAATTGACGAGTTTTTTTCATCTAATAAAGGATGGGAAAATATACGAAACTCATAGTAGTATTAATAGTAAAAATGTAAAGAGAACAAGATGTTTGAAGCATTGTTGTCAAACTCTTAAGTTAATTTTACGAGTTTATTATTTTATATTTCTAGCTTATAAAATTGTGTTAACCTACACATTAAACTCAGATTATTAAACAAAAACTCAGTTAAACTCATGAGTTGACATTCCTAGTTTATTGTTTGTACGCTTCTATATTATAAAATCATGCTAATCAGCTTATAAACTCATTGAGCAAAATCTATATATTGTATAGAACTTTATTCATAGAAGTGGTGAGATCAATTCAATAAAAAATAAAACTCAAAAAAAGAAAACTAATATTAATAAAAAGAAAACCAAAAATACTAAAAATAAGTTGTCCTATTTAAAATTTCTATATTGAGTATAATAATCTCTAATGTAGATAGATCTAATTTCAATTATTTATATTTAAAATATATTTAAATTAAATTATGGTCATATTTTATATTTTAATTATTTAATTATGTACTTTTTAAGTCTATTTATTAAAAGAGGCAAACTCTCATGAGTTTATGATTTTAAATTTACATTTTGAGTTTACATCTATGTCATAAATTTACTTAAATTTGAGAGTTTAACAATCTTAATTTGAATAATTAGAATTTTAAATGACTACTACAGTTTATAAAAAATTTAAAATTATAAATAAATTATAATTTGAAATAGATTTATATTTGAATCCAATCTAAATTTATAATTCTTATGTATCTAAATGGGTGAGTTGGCTTGAATTCAAATTCAAATTCATATTAATCCAAACACATGATCAAAGATTTTATGGCCAACGAGTTTATGCAATGTAATTTAAAAGCTTTTTGCAAAAAAAAAAAAAAAAACTTTGCAATAGATCACTTAAAGCTATTTTAGAAGATTTGATCACTCCAAGTTTATCAGAACGCTTTCCTTCATTGTCCATTGATTTCTAATAACATAATTATGGCTTCGAAATGTATAGATGGCCAAGATTCATCATGCTCGGCAATCCAAGACAGGTTGGTGTTCCTTTAAATCAGCCATACACTTTAATTAATCCTTAACTTCAAGTTAGGTTTGCGGGATAAAAGGGAATGAAGAGACCTGAATACATTTTATTTAATGAATAATCAAGATTGATCCAAGTTACATTGTCCAGTGCACTTATATATAGCCCATATCAATCAAGAATGAATTCAACATCGAAGTGGATAACCTTTTAAATAATGTTTAGATTTTTTAAGACCTTAATTGTCAAATGTGAGGATATCTTGGTAAAAAAAAAAAAAAGGAATGAATTATCAGGAACTAATGTAATGTATTAACGTTACAATTTTCCCATAAATGTAGAGAATTTGATGCCAAAGTAAAAAATAGTACTCCTCCATTAAAAATATAAAGCATTTTTAATCAAATTTTATTTAAAATAATTACTTACTTTCAAACTAATCTTATCTTCTTATACTTATCTCTATTAAATACCTACAATAAATATAAAGACAATTATTACATTTTAAAAGATTAAAAATTCTTTATATTTTTGAACATTTAACTTCTCAAAAAATGTCTTATATTTTTAAACGATGAAGTACTATCTATAATAAGGAAAAATTAATTTGCAAGTTCTAATAATTTTTTAATTTTAAATTAAAACCTACTCCCTCTGTTAAAAAATATAAGGTATTTTTTAAAGAGTTAAATGATAAAAAATATAAGGTATTTTTAATCTTTTGAGGTATAATTATTGTCTTTTTTAAAATATTTCTATTGATAATGACTTTATATTTATTGTAAAGTAATTAATAGGAGTAAATATGAAAAGACATGATTAATTTAAAAATAAGTGACTATTTAATTGAGGTAGATTTGATTTAAAAATAACTTACATTTTTGAACGGAGGGGATATAATTATTTTATTTTAAGGTGAATGAGTAAATTTTTATTTAAACTTTAGGTCAAGTAAAACCATGAACCATGAAATTATTTATTGTATAAATTATTCCCTTAACTTTTAAAAACATTACAATTTAACCTCTATCATTAATAAAAGTTAACTTTAATAATTAGTTGATTAGAAAATAACAGATAAAAACATTAAAATTATAGAAAAGAATAAACAAGTTACAATAAAAAGATCTAAAAAACATAGATAAAGGTAAAAAATTATAGAAAAGAACCAAAAAAAATTTTGGTCATTATAATTTGATGGATCTTAAAGGTTGAAATCCTTAAATGTTTTCTTTTTTAAAAATAAAATTAATTATAAAATTTTTATAATTTTCAAAATTTATAAATAGCTTATGTATTTAAATAATTTTACACACATAAATTTTTATTAAAATTTAATAAAAATGTAAATATTGTATTAAATCAAATTTTTTTTGCCAAAGTATTCAACAAAGAAGTGTTTTTTATTTTAAAAAAATAATAATTTATTAATAATTTTAACTTTGAAATATTAAAATATTTAAGTGGTTAAATAATAAAAAAATTATTAAAATAAAATAAATTATAAAAAAACCGAATTCAAAATTTAGGTAGATTATACCTGAGAAAATAATGAAAAAAGAAAAAAAAAATTAAATATTGATCAGCAAAAGTAAATTGAAGTGGGAAGTTGTCAGCTGTTAAATCAGATAAACAATTCAGATTCTGCCACGTAGACCAGCTCTGATGGATGCGACATTGGAGTGACGTGGCTTCATCTGGGGTATTGATTGCTGAACGGATCAGATGAAACCTGAAACCTAAAATGGACTAATCAAATTCCAAGTATAGTTCGCGCTCGAAAATCAGCACGGCAAAGCGTAGTTTTTGCCGCCGGTGCAATCACCGTTCCTCTTGACTGTAGTTGCGCCATTGTTGTGCAGTCCGGAGGAGTCTATTGCCTCTTCACCTAGCTGTTCGAACATTTTGGTATCCTGGCGCTGAATGCGTATACGAATCTTGAAACTTTGGAGGGTGTATCTGCAAATTGGAAGGAGGGAAAATTCTGAATCCCTAGACTTGCAAACGTTGCAGCAAATAGAGTCTCCAGTACAAATATTGGAACCTAAGGTATGTTTCATGGCGATTTTCTTGTGTATGTGGAATTGCTATCAACAATTTTCATATCGAAATGCGAAGACGATGTTCAATATGCATCATTTGATAAATCTTGTGCCTGTGATTCTCTATTGATGTACTTTTTATGTTTAATCTCACAAGTGTTATGATCTTTCGGTCATGATGCATGTCTAGCATCTCGCTTCTCTTCTGATGAATTCAGATGCATATTTTAGGAATTTCTAAGTTCGTATCCTCACCTTGATTGGGAATGGAATTAATTTGAGGACGTCACATGCTCCTAAATTTATGCAATTCACCAAATTTTGTGATTACATTAGTCAACTATCAATGACGAATTCGTTCTTTGTGGCTCACACACACACACATCCTCATGCGGATTCTTTCGAAATATCCTCCTGCAAAGAAGATGCCAACGGGGTATGAAGGATTTAGCCTCTTTTGCTTAGAAAATGAATCTATGCGTAAGGGCCATTATTAATTGAGACAGAGAGTTGCAGTATCCTTCCGGCCTTTTCTCTGAATCAACTTTTTGGCCTTGATATAGTCTTCTGCAGAAAGATCTAGCATCTTGGTTTTGCTCTTTTATGATCATGGCTTCATCTGCAACACCGAAGCACATTTCAATAACTCTAGTTGTTGACAAAGATAAAAATAAGGTTCTCTATGCTGAAGCAGAGAGTGACTTCGTTGATATTTTATTAAGCTTCTTATCATTGCCATTGGGAACTGTTTCTGAACTCATTAGTAAGGATTCTACCGCACAGCCTTGCAGATTTAACTGCATAACCTCACTGTATCAATCAAAGTGTAAAAAATCTGGATCCAAAGTACTTTTATTCGAATGAGTATAAAGGAAAGCTGCTGAATCAACCAACCCAATGGAAGCTTATTCCGAAAAGCTGGTATATAACTTTGATGACACACCAATCTCAAAAGGCTTTAATGGCTATCTGCGCAAACCGGCAAGTTTTATTGTTTCCGATGATCTACTGGCATTGGCTAATGATTTGGATACAACCTGGTGGATACTGCACCAAATTTTGGAATTGACTTTGATTCTGAAAGATTGACTGTGAATGTCACCCAGAATGAGGTGAGGATATTGCTCAGTGTAATATAGAGTAATTTGTATTCATCTCTTAATTTGCATTCATTTGATTTTAAAAAAAAGTTTCTTGAATTTTACAACCTTAACGTTGAAGTTTTTATTATCGAAATTTATCCATTTTGTTGACATTACACAGATTTTTCTCTATGCATAATCTTAGCAAAATTTAGAGAAATTTGTTGAGTTTACTTGTTGCTTGCAATTATTCTCTGGGACTGGGAAAATTGAGTAACTTTTCTCTCTTCCCCTCATTGTTTGATTTTTATTCGTCATCATTTCAAATTTCAAACTTTATACATGCTTAATTGTGAAGGTATTGGATCTACTGAAGTTCTCATTATGGTCGGGGACACCATTGACAGATTATTCTTACGCAAAAAACTGCCCATTCCGAACTCTCAAATACCAGAGTCTGAGTTAGAGGTAAATGAGATAAAAGGCAAGGAGGGCAGGAAGATGAATCTGAGGTTAATGGTATTAAAATCTCCACGCAAAAGTTGTTTGGTGAAGCAGGAGAGGATTTCACAGATCAGCTATTAAGTTTCCTGACTATTCCACTTGGTGCACTGGAACATCTTGCACAAGGCAAGTTTTTCGTTTGGGCTGCATTCTTTAATTTGTACGAGAGCTTGCGTCGTTTGGATCCAGCTAGAGATTTTAGTTTGAAATTTTATGATCTAAAGAACAAGCTCCTCAATCCTCATGTTGCCTTAAGTAATGTCCAGAACCAGTTGCTTCCAATTTATAGGCCAGACCTGCCTTCAGAAATTAGGCATTTCGGTTATACTAGATGGAGGTCATTGTTCCTAGTGGCAGATAATTTGTCACTTGTACCATTCTCTCAGCAGGCTGCTTTAGCAATTCTTCGTAAATCCAAAGTTGAGGTGAATGACTTATTGGCAGTGAAGATAAGCGTTGGGCTGAATGAGGTACTTTCTTCTCTTAATTCCACTTTTCTTGGACCTTTTTGGATCGTTCTTGAAATGATTCGTATCTTCAAATATTTTGTTGTGCTGCACTTTTTTTTCTTTTTTGAACTTTTCTCCCTTGCCGACCCCCACCTAGTGGGATAAAGGCTTGTTGTTGTTGTTGTGGAACTTTTTCTCCCTTTGGTTTGTTTTTATTTCTCCACCATTTTCGCATATTTTTACCCTGAGAACGGCACAAATATTCCATCATAATGGTTAGCGGTTCTTTTCTGCCATATCGCTCTAGTTTTGCCCTGGATTTTTTATCACAAAGTGGAAAGTCGTGAGGAATTTGCATGAGAAGCTCGCTAGAAGTTTTCACCAGAATTTCACATGATTGATCTGCTCTCAGTTTGCTTCTCTGCTCTCCATCAATCCTTTGATTATCTTTATTTTTAAGGTTTTAAACCTTTTAGATTAAGTTTCAAATAGTCTTATTTATATCTTAATAACGATAATTAAAATGTAAAAGAAAAACCAAAATTTACATAAAGTAGGTTCAGAGGCCGGAGAATAAAATAAAGTAGAAAGGGGACATTTAGAAAGCAGACCTGAGAAGGAATGAAAAGTTGAAACAGAGTAGGGTGATGAACAGTAGAGAAAGTGATTTACTTCATTAGTTCTTCTTTCTTTCGTTTTCTTTTTTCAGTTCCATTTTGTTTTTGGATTTCAATGCAGGTGTTGGATATACTGGAGCTGCTATATTGACATCATCAGCCTTTACGCTGAGTTGAACCTGACGCTTCCTTGCGATGAAGAAGAGACGTGTGAAGACGATGAAGAGACATGCCAAAGTATGAAGAAGAGACATGTGAAGACGATGAAGAAGAGACTTGCGAATGATTGCTAAATGCTGCAATAGTATTTGGATTTCAAGTAGAATTGATGATGTCATTATATGAAGGTTTTTTTTTTTTTTTTGGTTTGCTCATTTTCTTTCTTTTCCGTTGTTATTGTGCTTGGTGTGATGACCCGTTACAGAACATGGAACACATGTATGCTTTTAAACTATTGTTTTGCGTTTGAGTAACGTCGGATGGGATCCAAGTCAGAACCTTTAATTAGCGTTAGATAATCTGCTTTGTTCGTACTTATTTTTGGGTTAGTATTACGGACAATTATTTTACCTTTTGGTAAATCTAGATCAGGCAAATCCTTGTTTGAATAAACTTGCGGTCAGTTCAATATCTATGATTCATCATATTGAATGGAGTCAAAGTTAGCTGAAAGCTAGAATGAATTTTAAATAAAAAGAATAGTAGAGTTACTCTTCACTTGTGTGAGTCGAAATACATATTCAATTATGAACTCCTCCCTCAGTTTTATATATAAAGTGGAAATAGAAGAATTTTTGTCTTACTTATAATTATATTATTAAGTTTTTATTCAATGTTTTTTCTTTTATCCTTGATTGGATGTTGGTGAGAAAGTATGCTGTTAAATATGTATAATATTGGTAAAATTAAAGATTATTAAATGTTTAAATGTGATGAATGAATTCTAGGATTTTTCTTTAATTTTGTAAAAGATATTGAAAATAACTTATTAAATAGGAGATAAAATTGAAAATATAGTATATTTTTTTTTTTTTAGATAAAGTCAATAATTTAATTACTTCTTAATTTTGATGAAATAATTAGAAGAATCTTGTAATAAAACTGGAAGAGGTAGTAATCTATTCTTAGGGCTAACATTAAGGACAAGTCTTTTTAAAAAGCAAAGATGGATCTGGC